AAACAGCAAGGCTTTCAGGCCATCATCTTTCCCACTTGTAATGGGGCAGAACCTCTGTTTTGCCAGAAAGTGTTTTATGTGTTTATAGTTTTCCTTGTTCAGTAGCTTCCATTTTCTGGCATGTCCAAGTAGCTCCAAATGACATCTTTTCTCTCAAAGTACAGGGCAAGAGCTGGGGGAAGCCAGAATAGCATCTTCCCTGTAAGCTCTGAAGGTTTCACACCTTGAGCATCTTCATTTAACCCTGGTCTTGATGGAAATAGAATTGTCTTTGTATTTTCTTCTCCTCCTTTTCTCACCACTTTTCCTCTCGCTTATCTCTCTGCAGGGTGCTCCAGGAGAAGCGGGCATGTCTATCATCGGGCCCCGTGGTCCACCCGTAAGTGGCTTTTCTCTCTGTTTTTGATTGATGCAGGATGTGGGCAAGTTAGAGGGAGAGACTTAGGAGGGGCAGTAAGACATAGCATCAGCTGGAGAGAGAAAAAATTCTGTGTAATGTGGTTCCTATGCTGAGCCAGGCTTGGTTTTATACTGCTATTATATACTATATATAATGAAATTACAGCTCATACTCCAGAACAAATAAGGAAGCCTCCCCTTGCAAGGAAACCATATTCCTGTATTTAAAAGGAAGAAGCATATTTCCTTCTTGCAACAGGGCTGCGACTGCTTTTGGAGAAAATACACCCTTTGCCTGGGTGATCTCAGCCTTTGGTTTCATTAGCAGAGGACAAACCCCTCGATTTTGCAGGAGAGCAGGATCAGAGCTAAGATGGTAACTGGGTCACTTACAAAGATAGGTAGTTCAGAGTTGTTCATAGGTCCTTGTCAAGTGCCTAAAATCTTGAAAACACTTCGACAGCACAGTTACCACTATCTGGAAAGTCCCTTAGCTGGCTGGGGAGCAGAAGAAAACGTAGGCAGGATTTTGCACGCTGTTCCAGTAGAAGTGTCCCTGTAAGGTGCAACGAGTCAGACAGACAAAGTTTTTTGCGAGGACAGAGTCATAAAAGAAGACCTACATGGAGGGTTGGAGCATTTACATGCCCTAAATGCTGGATGTTTCTTGCACTGTGGTTCAGCCATCAAGCCTCTGCTTTTGTGCTGATGCAGTCAGTCCTCACACCATCCCTGCACAACCTCCACCAGAGATTTCCATGAAAAAAGACCCAGAGACTCAATTCTCTCCCTCCCAGTGGGCACTTCCGATTTTGATTAACCTGTGAAGAGTACCGTCCTTGACCTGCAGAGAGGATGGGCCGCAGGCAGCTTTTGTTTCACAGCAGAGGTCAAGTGAGAGAGACCTAGGCAGTGCAAACACTTGGCTACATCTGGCTTTCCAATTAACTTTCCAAAAGCCCCATGATAAGTGTTTCTAATAAGAAACAGCTTTGCTGGTTCCCAGGCCCACCTGCCCAGCACGCTGGAGTTTGAGGAGCGACAAAACCAAAGCCCAGGACACAAATGGGTCTCCCCAAGTGTTTTATACCCAGCAGATGGTCCCTGGCCCTGCGGCCAGATGAGGAGGAAGGGCTGACAGGTCTCTCCATGCCAGCCTCTGAGCAAGACCACCCTGCTCCACAAGCAGCAGATTTTGGAGGGTAAATGGCCTGTCCCTTTTGCTGTTTCTCACAAGCTGTAGCTCTCAGCCTTCTGGATAGTGTGATTATAGTAATTGGAGAGAAGAGCATTCAGTTTCTGTCACTGTAGGTCCCGCAAACAGAAACAGGCACCACTGTTTTCTTGAAGAACACATGCCTGGTCTGTAGGACAATTTTTAATGTCTGCTTTGGTGCTGCTGCTTTGCCTCATTGCCTTTGCTGCTGTTTGGGAAAGTGCAGAACACGTTGCCTCTCCAAAGCAGCAGCAAACTTAGATGGCAAATGATATTTAAAATGGGCTTTTGCCTACCCCCGTCAAATGCCCAAGGTGCCAGGACTGGCAGAACTCCACACTTCCACCCCCAAAGCCTACCGTGAAGATGATCCAGTTTCCCGGGGAGCTGGTGATAGGTCAAAAGGATGACTGAGCACAGAAGACAAACATGGAAACCCCGGCCAAGGGGCCACTCGGAAAGACGTGGGATGACAAATAGTTTCCAGATTTTTGTTTGGAGGTTAAAGTTTTCACCCGAGCTCAGAGCTGCTTAACTCCTGGCCGGAGAGGGACAGTGCGCCGATAGTGGCAGAAACAGACGGTCTCCATGATTTGGCAGCTCCCAGGATTACATACTTCATATGATCAACATTTTAAAAAGAAGACAAGGAAAAACAGCCACCCAACAAAAACAGTCTCTTGGAATCGCTCACTGCTGAACTGTTGTTTTGGCCTGATACCGTGCAAATCACTCTGCCGTCCTCCAAGGAGAAAGAGGCAGCAGTCTGTAGTCTACAGAGGAAGCCAAATTGCACAATTTCCAGGTTTTCTCCCTAATTCTATTTTTAGCACTTCTTGTCCAGGGAGGTGTCCAGCAGGGAACCAAAATTAATGAATTGTGGCTAGGCTCTTCTCCATGCTTGCCTTTTCAGAAACCAGCAGTGGACAGATCCTTTAATTTATAGCCTATCTTCCCTCCTGGTCACTGGCCAACAGGACCAGGTGGTTTTATATGTATCTTGCAAAGCAAAGATGACCAAGTTCAACTCTGCAGAACTCAAAAAACAGTGCAAATGGGATTAGGTCCTGCTAGCATTGTGTATAAAAACACAATTGTTTGGTGTAATACGAGGCATTTTGTGGTAGAGGCTTCCCTCAGACTCTTCAAAGAGGTTATATGGCCCCATCCTCTGAAGGGGGCAAACCTTCATTGAGTCTCTTTGCAGACAGAGGGAGGCTGGAGCAGATGTAACCTGAAGGTGAAGGTTTTCCCTGCCAGCGTGGCTCTGAGCTCTCTCCCAAGGGATTATCATTGCTTCACTGTGGCAATCCTCAGCCTCGCAGCCCAGGCATGCTCAACCCCTCCTTCCCCTTCCCTTCCCTTGGCACCACACTCTGGTTAAGGCAGAGATGCACCCATGTGCATTCCTGTTCAGAAGTGAACCCTTGTTTATACCCAGCTCTTTTCTAGGAAACCCTTGTGGGACCCAAACAGTCCAGTCAGAGTATCTCAAATTCCCTAAGAAAGCATTTTATTCCCCCAAAAGAAGCATGAGAACACATAAGAAACCTGGGCTTTTTGGCATCATAGCATGGCTTTCAGGGAAGGCAAGACGCCGCAGCAGTCACTCAATGAGTGTGGTACAGGATTTACCTCATCCTGATGCTTCCATCTACATGGTTGTGCTTCCAGACCTGCTGAAGTCTGGTCCACATTACTTCCTGACTTTGCTCACATGTTTTTCAGGAAATGGAGATTAAAAAAAATCCTTAAGTAAAGTGGTATCTTCACTGGATACCCACAAATCTAGTTTAACTGTGACCTGGGATGTCACAGGTCCCAGAAACTGAAGAACTATGAAAAATAAACAGCCAGGACATTTTCTTTTTTTCTTTTTTTTTTTTTTTCTCCCCAGTGTTTTTAAGTGGGTGTTGAAGAAGCTGCCAAACACATCCCAAGCCAGTGTTTGCTGTACCTGATCCCAAACTGGTAGCCGACGCTGGCTAGCCAGAAAGAGGCGGGGGGAAGGACTTGGTGACTTGGTGCTCATATTCCTCTCATCACACTACCTAACTCTCCTTTTTCTCTTGGCTCTGAGGAAAAAATTAACCAGAAAAGAAAAAAAAAAATTATCTCTTCTCCAGAATTATTTGTGAGGAAAACGAATGCACTGGGACATGCGATTAGGGGAGAAGAGGAGGAATGGCTGTATTTAGACACCAGTGACCTGCAGGGTTTGTCTTGCGCAGAGCAGCACCTTGCGTTAAACGCCTCTGGTTTATGGCAGCAAGAATTGCCATAAAATGAGCTCAGTCCCTGGAATATACTCCAAAATCCTAGTTTATGGGCTAGGGACACCCATTTAATTAATGTTGAAACTTCAAGGGAACTGCTTGCAGTCCAAACTGGACCTGCTCCAGCATTTTCTTGGCCCTGTACAAATTGGAGTGGGGATGAGAGATTTCCCCTCCTTCCCAAGGCATTTTCCCCTTGGAGGGAAATTGAGTCTCGGGTAATTCTTCAGAGAGTCACAGAATAAATGTGCAGAGGCTGGAGGAAAGGCTCCATAGAGAGGACTTATGGTCAGTCAAAATCCACTTCAGTTCTTCTAAACTGCTGTCTCTGTTTCATCCTTCCCAGGGACAGCCTGGAACAAGAGGTTTTCCTGGATTCCCGGTAAGTGTAACTGCTAATTTATGAGGTACGGGTGTGCAATATTACTAGGAAGCGTCATTAGTGCTTGCTACGTCTCATCATTCTGTCTGAAACCAAGGAGCTGATCTGATATCACTGGAAAAAGAACTTTTTCGTCATTTGTTTTTTCTTCTTTTTTTTTTTCCCCCTTTAAATGATACTTGGAGAAAAAAAAAAAAAAACAACCAACCACAGAACACCAAAAGGAAATTAATTTTAAAAAAACCCCAAGTGTTAAAATAACATAGTTGAAGCCAGATCTATTCAGTAAAAGAAAACCATCCTAAGAAATACCCCCAAACAAAGAAAATAACCCCTAGGTAGGTAAAATTCCAACCTTAATTGAGCCTTTAGGTGATATTACAATAGCAGTGAGTGCCTGTGATCCAAATGGGGCCCTGTGTGGTGTAAGGCAGGTGGGGACTGTGCTAAGCTGAACACCCTGGTCATGCCAAAGGGCAAGGAGAAAAAGCATGAGGCGGGATTCTTCTCCAACACTGTTAAAGATGGATAAGGCAACAGAGAAAACAAGCCCAGGAGAGGACAAAGCAGATTCCATTTTAGTCCTATAGTTGCTGGCAACGCTCTCTGAAGCCTTAAAGCTGCTGGAGAACTCAAACGGTTGCTATTTATTCTTATGCATTTATCCTGGATGACTAGGAAGCCAAAAGCAAACACAGACACCCCCTGCATCCCTGCTCCCGCCAGGCAGCTCAGCTGCTGCTCCAGGACACGCGATGTGCCAGAGCGGGTCTGCGGGGGAGACTTCTCACGCCTGGAAAACGGGAGGAATTGGCAGCCTCCAAGCCGTCTGATGGGGCTCTGCAGCTCTGCCCTTTGTGGAAAGGGGGGCTGTGAGCTGCCCCTGGGCTGAGGAGAAGCAGATCTCTCCAGGCCTTCGTGGTCTTTGGCTTTCGGAGGTGCAGAAAACAAATCAGCCCAGCTCATGAGAAAGTGTCGGGTGGGACAGCGCTCTGCGGAGCCTGTTTCTCATCAAATAGTACCTTCAACATGAGCTGTATGTCACCTCTTCCCTGGGACACTTTTATTGTTCTATCATTTGCAAAAATTCCTCTTCCCCCAAAGGCGGGTGCCTTTTTAAATCAAAGTCTTGAGAAAACTGATGGTTTTCAACTAGTTTAGAGGATGCTACAGAGTTTGAAATGCTGAGGGCTTTTTGCAAATTGCTGCTGAAATGGGCTGACAGTGAGCAGGTCCCTGCAGAAGAAATCGGGAAGCTGTGCTGGTACCCAGTGGGCCAGGGAGCTGCTGGGACTTGGTGGGAAGACAGAAAGAGTCGCCTCATCTCTGAGTCCTTTCCCCAGTCTGTGCAGTCTGGAGCAGATGGACAGACGCTCCAGTGAAAGCATTTCTCATCATTTCTCCTTTTTTATTTCAGGGCCCTATTGGCTTGGACGGCAAACCGGTAAGCAAACAGCTTCTCTCAAGGCTTCCTGCCCTGCCTCCTGCTTGGTCCCACTGTCCTGCTAGCCTGCCTGTTACAGAGTATGTTTTTAAGAGGATTAGTCTGCAATGTCATGCACATGCACGGATTAAAAGAAAATTAGAAGGTTGGCAGGCAGGAGGATACCACAGCTGCCTTGGGGGAGACGCAGGAGTCAGGAGATTAGGGAAGGCAGAGTGTGGCTGCTTCCTTTCTAGGCAAATCTATAAAATGACACTTCACAAGTGCAACAGCCTGGCTGCTGCAGGGGAAGCCTCAGCAGGCACTCCCACCCTGGATCAGACAAATAGAGCAGGTCTCCTCGGCACCAGCCCTCTGCCTTGGACAGCCGACAGCCTCGTTAGAGGATGACCCTGCAGCTTCCTTCTGTTCACTGCTGTGCTGCAAAGACTTGCAGTAGAAGAGGAAAGGACCCTAAAGACCTCTATGCTGTCCTTAGAGCCTCCTTATAATCAGTTTCGTAGTAGAGAGAGAGACCTAAGTTCTTCCCATCCTTCAGAGACCTGGGCATAAATATAGCTGCTTCCCTGGGAACCCGACATGAAGCACATAGACCAAGTTCCCCACTACGCTTCCTCTAGCCATGCTGTAAAGGAGAAGGAGCACATAACTCTGGCACCTAATTTCCTACAACAGGACCCTGCTTTTGCCATGAGGAACGTCACCTTCAAGAGAGACCCAGCAGCATCTCTCCTGTACTACTCTGGGGACACACACACGAGCCCCAGCAGGGCACAGTGCTGTGCTCTCAGCTGAAGCTGCTCTGCCAGCCCAAGGGGGCTTAACCATATTGCAGCCATGCCCTGCAGAGCCTTTGCATCCTGTGTTCATCCTCCAGAGCTTTGTCCTCAGCATTTTGGGTAGCAGGGAGCAGTGTCCTTTTATGTGTGTGAGCAAAGATTCCCATGCACGGCATGGCATCTCCCTTGACAAGGCGTAGTAGTTGCAGGCACCTCCCAAGACAAAGGGTAGGCAGGTTAAGCCAACATCTTCTAGAGATTGCAGTGGTAGAGGCTGATGCATGTTCTCTTTCTTTTGCAGGGTCATCCTGGACAGAAGGGGGAGATGGTAAAAAAAAATACATGTTTGTCTGCGGGTGATGGGTTGGTTTGAAATGACATTGCCTCTCAGCTGGAAACGAACTCATAGGCAAGGCAGCGATCCTGGTCCAGCTAATGCACTAGCTGCGTCCCTAATTCTGTAACTTCATAATAGCAGTGCTGGGATGCACACCTGTAATTTTTACATTATGGCTATCAGATTCATCATGTCACAACAGCAACTCTCTAGTTATGCATGGGATGTGTTTTGCTTGCAGTTAGCAATTACGTTCTTTAAATATGCTCTGGGAGCTGACATTTTTTGTGGCTGGCCTCATAGCAGAAGTAAAAGTTGATGGAAAGTTTTCTGAAAACCCATCTGGCAGCTTTCAACTTATCTAACAACAACAAAAAAGCATATTTTTTATATTAAATATCTTTATTTCCCCTCTTGAAACTCTGTTTCATATGTGCATTGTACTAAAATGGTTTTGGTTGAAAATGATAAACTTAGGCTTGATATGTTTGATTGATAAATGGTAAACTTATACTCGATGGAAACCCAAATGTGGTTCCTCTTGACATCTCTGATGATGAAATCCCCGAATGCAATCACGCCAAGCTAGCAGCTCTGTAGTCACCTTCGCTCACTGAAATGCTGAACGCTTTCTTCTGCTGATTCTGTTTCTCGAGCCCGAGTGTCAGTGTAACCCTCTGGCAAGCACATGTCAAAGATCCCTGTTCCCCGCTCCTCAGGAGAGGGGTGAGCTGACGTCCCCCTGCTGCACAACCCTGGCTCAGGCAGTTGCAGCTCGGGCTTCAGCCCTGGCTGCTTCTGGTTCCATCTCAGCGCTTCGGCTGAGGAGACGTGCTGTCAGCTGGGGTCCTGGGAACAATAAGGGTGTGTTTTCCTCATGGTTTTTCCCCACTCCTTTTAATAATTCCCCCCTGCAGCGCAGACAGAACATGTGTGCGTTTTCACTCCTCTGGAGTAGCAAAGGGAACCCAGATCTCTCTTGGGAACTTTTCTACACAATTGTTTTTAAAAGCTGAGTTTCCACCTACTCCATACGCTGGGAGTTTTTGTCGTCTTGTCACTGTAAACGGGAATTCATCTCACATTCACACCAATGTGTTTCTTTAAAGGGTGCTGCAGGTCCCAGAGGACAACCCGTAAGTATCCCATCTCTTGCAGTCCCACCTCCTTCTGATCCCTTTCCCCTTGCATGCACTGAACTCCTTTATTTACTGAAGGAATTTTTTAATCACTTTTCTTTTATAGGGACCCCCAGGACAAAAAGGAGAAAAGGTAATTTTTATGGGAGTTAAATGTAAAAAGTTAAATGTAAAAAGTGAGAAGGGAAGGGACTCGATGGGCTTGGTGCTGCTCGGTCTGACTTTGAGTGGCTGAGAAATACAGCAAGAACAGCGGGCTGTGGAGATAGGGAACAGGAGGCAGGGTGCTTGTCGGTGCAAAGTGGCATAGCTGCACTGAGTTCGATGTTACAACGATTTACACCTTCTGGGTCTGACCCCGTGTGTCTATTTTGGTCCTCTCTGCTCGTGGTTTAAACTCTTTCCTTTTAATCCCCTTCTTTCACAGGGTCAGTGTGCAGAGTACCCGCACAGGGTAAGTCATTAGCGTTATTATCGTCTGTCCCGTGCCTTCCTGCATGTTAATCCTCCTTCATTTGAATGGCTTTTTGTTGGAAATATAGATCTTTTCATTAACAAGATGCGTCATCGGGGCCCTGAGGGCAGCGCTCGGCTGATTGATGTGTTTCGCAGAAAAGCAGCAGATAAGGTTTTCCAGGAGGGATGTTGGTTCCCTGGTCTGTTCCTGCCTGCTGGGGCTGACCCCAGCTAAATGCTCTCATTGCTGCTTCCTGGAGACCCTCCCGTGCTCTGTGCCAGAGCAGAGAATGTTCATGTCCTTGTCCCAAATCCAACAAAACCTGGGGTTTCTGGAGAAGTAGAGGTCACCCACTCATACCTTGTGTTGCTGCATCAGCTCTGTCCTGCTTCCACCAGAGACAAGGGGGAAGGGTTGTGCTCCCTGCCCAAAAGTAACCCTGACCACCTCTGGCCGCAGGGCTCTGGCTGGTCCCTGGTGAGCTGGTCCCCCAAGCTGGTGGGCTCTCTGCCTGCAAAGAGGAGGCAGAGAGGGAGGGTTGATGACAGCAATGGTTTAAGGAAAGCCAGGATGTTGCCCCACTTGCCTCTTTGGCCTGGCCTGGCTGGCGTGTGTCACAGCCAAGTGAGGAGAGAGTACATCACGGGGTTGGAGGGGATTACAGCGGTAAAATTTAACCAGCTCTAAAAACAACCGGAGTGCTGAAAATCCACTGGAAATGCATTGGAACGACATCATATGAAGTGGCTGGAATTTGTAATCTGGGTGTACACGGAGACAGGCTTAAGGGCTTTCTGTTTATTTTTGACAATTAGCTGGGCTCTGGTCCCTGGCCCTGAGGGAGCAGGGCCCTGGATGCTCTGTGTGGCAGACGCAGGGGAGAGAGCTTGGCTGGCAGCAAGGGAGAAGGGGGCGGCGGGTATGTGCCAGCCCCAGTACAATAATAGCCGGTCAGCCGTATTTATTTAGGCGAGCCCGCTCACTGGATTGTTATGTTAAAAAGAAGCTAACAACAATGTTCACCCGAGAGGTGTCCTGGGTTCCAGTTACAGCCCTTGGCTCCCACTGTCCTCAGTACTCAAGGTGAACAGCAGCAGTGGGACCCGCAGTGATGCTGGCAAACGGAGATGCAGACTGTGCATCACTGAGAGTAGCCTGGGCTCAGATCTGGGGGCAAAGGCATGCTGGTTTGGTGGGTCGGGGTTGTAACCACCCCAGGGTGGCACGCCACAGGGCTGCGACAGCAGGTGCAAAGCCAGATCAAAATTTTAAAAAGCCCGTGAGCCGTTCCAAGGCAGAGACATGTTCACGGGAAGGGTGACTGTCCTCAGATCAGCTGAAGGGTGAGCTGTCCCAAAGGGTCTGGTCACGGGCACAAACCAGACAACAGAGGTGCAGTTCCTTCTCTTCCTCCCAAAATGAAAATTAGGATGAGCCTTGTTGAAAAAATGCTACACGTTTGACTGAATTGCAATTTATTCTTGCTTTACTGATTGACGAGGTCCTTTGTCAGGTGTTCTGGCCAAGGAAATGAAAACCAGCATCCTGAAAAAACAGGGATGTTGTTTCAGTTTTGTTTTGTCTCTGTTTTCTTAGGAAGGAAACGTGAGGTTAAGATGTATGCCTTGGCTCATGTGGTAGTTTCCTGTCTCTTTTCTGTATGAGTCTGTGTGGCCTGCATTGCTGTGAGGGACAAGCCCGGGTGTGGGGCTACCTGTTTGGTGTGAGCTGGCCGTTCGAGTTGCTCCAAAGTGCTGCCCTGGGGAAGGGCACCCAGCTCAGGGAAAAGGGGGACCAGCTGTGCTCCACCTGCTCTCAGAAATACCGTGTGTCTAACTGACCCCTTTTGTGTCGTGTCTTCACTGTCCCCCAGGAATACCTAAGTACCACCCTTGCAGCCCTGCGCTCTAACCAGATCCTTGCGCTGAAGGTTTGTGGGGAACAGTCTGACGGGACCTAGTTCTGATGCAAAGGCACAAGGACGTGGATCCAATATTGCACGCTGCCTTCTGAAAAAAGCTTGCCGTTGGGACACAGAGGGGGCAGAGCAGGAGCTGGGTGGAAGTTTCCTCTCACTTGCACCTGAATCCATTGCTGGGTCTTGTCTCTCCGCTGTTTTCAGGACTGCTTCCCTCTGTTTCCCTCTTTATCCTTTCCAGCATCCTTCCTCTGCTTCCTGTAAGCTGCATAATACTTCAGATACACTTCAGCACTTGAGGAGCCAGGTGAAGCCAGCTCAGCTGGGTATGGGTCACTTGTACAGAGATGCTAGGCACACCTAGAAACATTTTAGAAAGAGAAGAAAACAGAAGAAAGAGAAGAAAACATTTAGAAACACACACACATTTTAGAAAGAGAAGGATTTCCTTCAGGTAAAAGCAGTCCTGTTGATTTTCCAGCAGTGCTGCTTTTCATGGAATAGCTTGTTGCGATAGCTTGCGGCTGTCCGGATGAGTGCATTCGAATGCAACTGCCCCATCAGAGGATGGCGATGCTGCAATATTGGGTTGCCACTTCACTTTGCAACAGGACCGGATCCTTGTTTTCACTGCAAACATGGAGAACAATGTTTACGGGGACTAAAGTGCGCTGCTTGGATGCCTATGGTTACTATGGTGGGAGACCTGTGGGCACACCTCTGAGATCCAAGTGCACAGCTCGCATGGGGAAACATTGCACACGGGCATGTTTTTGTGCCTGAGCAGAGGAAGCCTCTTTCTCTTCTCCCTGTGTAAATCAAGAGCAGCTTCAATGGAAAACCGATAGGAACAGGAAAGTGGATCAGGTCAGAGGAGCATTCCTGGGCCTGGAGCCGGCACGGTGGGTGCCAGGCTGACAGCAGCATGCATGCAAGTGGAAACTGGATACGACAGAAGGATGAACAAATGCTCCTGAGCTTTAGTGCGTTTGATTTCTGTGTGTCCGGGTCAGCTTTGTGCCCTAAGGCAGCATTCCTGGCTATAAGCAGTCAGCGGCTGATGTTACTGTTACACAAGGAAAAGCAAAACACAGGCTCCCAAGGCAATGCCCTGCTCAGGGCTCAGAGGCACCAGGGTCTAGTCTTCTCCCTTGACCATGATGGCTGTGTCTGCTCAGCTAAATGTGAACTGTGCCAGGACCTGTTCACTGGCCGTGGCACCTGCTGCTGACCCCAGCTAGACTCTCTCCACTCCCTTCTATACGCTGAGGAAGGGCGAGGCCCCGAGACACGGTGTTTCTTGTAAGGGAAGACGGAAAGAAATAGGAAACCATACTTGCAAAACTTGGAGAAAATTGCCTTTCTGATAGTTACCTCAAATCTGACGATGAGAAATTAAGAGAAACAGTCCTGTCACTGGAGAGCTTAGCAGAGCCAGTGGGGAGATGTCTTGCACTAAATACCACCTGAGTAGAGCAGTGGGTCTGAGTCAAAACCCCTCCAGGTAAGTTTTATTTCTGAGTAGAGAAAGCGGTAAAAGCTGTGTGCGGTGGGAGCATCAGGTTGGCGAGTGGCCACCCTGCACCTGCCAGGGCTGGCACGTGGCAAATCCCCCTGTGAGCAACGCAGGGCGTGGAGGAGCTCAGAGGTCTGCCTGCAGGTACCCGTGCCACGCGCCCTCCGTGTGCGGCTCTCACGTGGGAATTTATTTTCACGGCAATTTCTCTGTTCCCCTCTTCTCTGTTCTCTCCCCTGGCTGCTCTCTGACTCTCGGTGCCCTAATGGCCTCCTTTGCCCCGCGACCTTCTGGTTTGATCTTCTTCAGCTGTTGCCTCTCCTCAATTCAGTGCGGCTGGCTCCACCTCCGGTCATAAAGAGACGCACTTTCCAGGTAGACTTCTCCTCCTCGTTGCCTGTTTCTAAGCCTACCCCGATGCTTGCAATTAATCAGCTTGCTACCTGACTTTCTCCCCCTATAGAGGGGTTTCCAAGTGGTTTGGGTAGAGCTGAGGGACTTTCTTCGAAGCGGAGGAAATCTTTGATGTGATAATGTGGCTAAAAAGAAAAGCAGTGAAGCCAGTTTTTTAAACTAAAAGAAATGGGCCATGAAACTGTTCTTGGGACTGTTGACAACCAGTCTTCTACCTTAAGGAGTCAGTTCCTGCGTATTCAATCTCTAGAAGAGGTTAGAAACCTCTTGCTGAAATGCAGCTAATATCTGTGAAATTTAACTGAGACGAATGAATAGGCCAACGCTTCTTCTAAGGGCTAGTTCAGCCTGAGACACTTGGGAAAATGTGTTTAAATAAGCTCTTATAATAGTTTCATTAAACTGTGTTAAATCTTTGTGTAAACACATTTATTTTGGTTTCCAGGGCCATAATTCCTGTTTAGTTTAGTTTAGTTTAGGAATGAATTAATAAAATGAATTATGGACATATGAATAGTGAGTAAGAGTGTCCACAGTCAGAGTTCATGTGGCTTTTAATGAGCCCACTTTAAGCTCCCTCGTTCCATCAATCGGGATTAACTTCCCTGTGTGGACAAACCGCTGTAATTAACCTCGCTGAAGTGTGCTGGGCACTCTCTATTAAGTTGCTGAGTTTTGTCACCCCGCTGCCTGTCTAGACAGTCAGATGCTGGCAGGGAACAGCAGTCTGCAATACAGCCCTTTACCACGAGGTGCCTGGTCCTTGCCCAGTGCTGGCAAAATCCTGACCTTATCGCTTGACCCCTTGGTCTCAATTCAGTTTCTATCGATTTGGCGTTCGCACCACACAAAGCCCCACGGCTTGCACTGGTCGCCCTTTAAAGTGACAGTCTGGAGAGCCAGGCCAAGGACTGACCTCTTGGGAAGGCTTTGAAAGCTGAAGTTTGTATCCAGGATGAAGTGGGAAACTTGAACAGCTGCCCCGCATCCTGTCGACAGCCAGGGCTGCAAATTCCCTCTGTCCCCAGAGGCGAGCTTCACCGAAGAACTTTGCCGTGATCGATTTTGCCGTTGCTGTATTCATTCTCTAAGTGCAACAAAGTGTAATCCACTCCTACGGATCTGCCAGCACTAGGCAATTCCAGGAGCCCAGCGTATGAATACTGAGAAAAAATGCGAGGCTCCAAAGTAAGTGTTAGCAACAACGCCTGAGAGAGGAAAATTCTGCTGCTGCCTCTGAGCACATCAGCAAGAGTGCTTTGCCCAAGGGCTTGGGCTGAGCGGAGACCTGTGTTAGGAGGCTGAACAAGCATTGCCTCACTGGGGCACAACCAAGCTGGCCAACTGGTGTTTAAAAGAACCGAAAAATAGCTCCAGTCAATGACTGAAAATATAGAATGACATCTGGTGAAAATGACACCTGATCTCCAACTTACTCTATCTGCTTACTGTCCAGTTACATCTGTGGGGGTCTTTTTGTGCTGAATGCATTAATAGGACTATAATAATGCGGTGATAACATTTTGCATGTTTAGGGATCTACATGGACAGGCACTTGGACAAAGCATGCTCTGTCCAAGGCAGCAAAGTGAAGGCAACGTGAACAGGAGTTTGGGTGAGCTCCTTCCAGCCGCTCCCCATGCTGGGACAGGGCTCCTGCTCTGGTCATCTCCTCGTCCCCTGCCAGGGTGCCAGCACCCATTCCCAGCATCGTGCTGCAGTTTAGTGCCCTAAACCTGGAGCATGAACCGGGCTGACAGAGAGCAGCTGAGGTGGGAATAGAGGAGGGAGAGCCAAAGGGAGACAGGCAAAGCCCACTCCACCTGCCTTCATGCACCCATGGTGGGGGTGCTGTAAGATGCAACAGAAGGGAAGTCTCTGAAGTTGGACTGAGAAGTCAGGGCAAGAGGAAATCCAGAAATATACTCTAGTGTCCTCCAAACCTCTTGTCATCATGGGATCCAAATTCTCTCCTAAATTTACAGGACCATTTACAGGACTGTGGAATAGCACTGAGTATGGAGGATAGGCAAGTCCAGGAAGGATCCTGTGTCCTCTTGCATGGGCCACAGGGTGAGCCAGGATCTACTTACGAAATGGGGAAGAGAGGGCACCTTCCCTGCCTGGCCCAGGTTTCCCAGCGTGGGCTGTGGGTCAGGCGGCAGCTCTCTTGAGAAGGGCTGTTGCCCCACACATGACTGAGCTTCCCGTGAGCCTGGCCCGCACGCTGGAAATTTTCTTTTAAATAGAGCTCATGGCAGAAGGGATGAAATTTGCAGCTTATTACTTTCATTTATCATTCTAAATAAAGCAAATGTCCCTGTATCTGCATGTTTTACTGAAGGCAGCCAGGATAAACAGTACGCTTGTTAGGAACACATGCAGGGGACAGATTTCGTGCACTCTCTTGCACACAGGAGTGCATGAGAGCAGGCTTAGTTCTACCCAGCAGCAGTGTATAGGGCTGTAGAGAGGATAAATGCAGCAAAGACCCGACTGCACACTCATTGATTTATAACTGAGAAACAACCATGTTTGATTTCTAGCTTCCTGTGGATCCACCAAGGACAGCTTTTCAAATTTAAATTGGGTCACTAGCAGTAGGATATCATGATATTTTATCTAGGGAAGGGGCACGGGAGGGGAGCCCATGAGACTAACAGCTTCGCGTGGGTGCTGCAGTGCCTTAGGAGTCCGCTGGATTCAGCAATTATAGATCAGCAGTCTGGTATTCAAACATGATGCTTCCAACCCACTGTCTCCTCAGCACTGCTTGGTCCCAAGTCCAGATCCTTTGGGCCAGATGACATTGCTGAGGCATGAGCCATAGCCGCCGAATGGCTACTGAGGGGCCTGGGGAGGAACTGGCTGAAACGGCTTCATTCAGAGAGCTGAAAATGGCAGGTGGCTCTGCACGCACTAGCTTGTGAAATCTTACAAAAACAGGCTCTGCCTGGCATTCATAGGCCTGTTTTGGGTGGGCTCCAGAAATGCCATGATGATCATGTTATTTTATTTTGGTTTTGTGGCGTTTCTACTTTTGGTCCTTGACAAAATATAGGGAGTGTTGTCCAATAAATATAGCATGGGGGGAAAAAATAGGCTGAGGTAAGACACTGTGACTCTGCCTGGAAGTGCCAGCGTAGTCACGGGAGGCTTTGCTCCACATATGACTGTCAAGTGCTTTGGAAAGCCTCCTGAGAAGCTCAAGAGATGTTGGTCCTTGACATGTGAATTGTACTTGACTGACTCGCAAAGAAAAAGATCTCTTTGGACTGCTCAGTCGTGATCATTTTTAAATAGAGCTCTGACAAGGTAGCCTCAGGTGTCTTTGCAAACTGTAGGGTGCTGGCTTCTGCCACCCAGGCAGCCTAGCCACCCTCAGTGAGGCTCTTCCTTACTCTTGGAAACCTCTCCTAGCACTAACCTGGGACTTGCTTCTACCTCTTCTGCTTCAGCCAGGCTGACCTGCCTTGGGCCCTTGGGGTGGTGGTGTGAAGGGGTTGCTCTGTCTGCTGATAACCCCTTGTTTTAACGAACCTCAGGGTGAACAAGGACAAGCAGGAATCCAGGGTCCCCCAGGGCCCCCTGGCCCGCCAGGGCCCACTGGACCAGCTGGACCCAAAGGAACCCCAGGACAGCCCGGGCCAGTTGGGCCACCTGTAAGTCCAATTACAAAAAAGCCTTCTGCTTCATATTTCCCTAGAGTATAGACAGTTTCCTCTGTCCTTTTTTGCCTCTTCTGAAGCCAAGGTAGCCACGGACAGGAGATTTGCAGGGCATATGGATGTATGGGGAGGAAGAAGTTCCCAGGAAGGAGGGGGAGCGGGAGGGAAGGCGGAGGTGTGCACCCTGCACCATTGCTATCTGGACACACATGTGTGAGCGGGTGACACCAGGCCCATTTCCTCCTCCTCAACCTCTGCAGATGGCCACGGAGAGGAAGTAACGTGTGGGGTGCAATTGTCCTGCTCACAGCAGAAACCTGACTGATAAGAATCCCTGTGACCCCTTTGAAGTCCTGCTTCTGTCCTGTTCTCAGGCTGGTAGCAAGCTCCCAAGGAGGGTGAAAACAGAAGCACCATTTAAAATAAAACCATTGCTAAATGGCAGGGGACAGGGCAGGAAATCCTGTTAATGTGCCTGTCTTTTCCAACAGGGCAGAGTGGGAGAACCTGGGAAGCCTGGCAGAGATGGAAAGGTGGGTACCAGAAACCAGCTCCATTCCTGGGAGCTGTGGGAGAAACTGCACCCACTCCAGCGTGAAAGAGTTTTCAAGGCCTGCTAGCAGGACCAGCAAGCCTTGTCCCCTAAGGCAAAAGTGCCTCTCCACGCATGACAGAGGAGTCAGGTGTCTTACAAGCGTCCTCATCTCTCTGAGCTCTGAGGAGCCCAGGATGACCAAATATTTGAATCGCTATAAGCAGGCAACATCAAGGGCGGTGTAGGCATCAGAGCATATCTAGAGTAGTTTTCTCCTTCCTTCTGCTCACATCAGGAAGGCAGCTCCTGCATGGATATTTCGTTTATTTACATTTACACACACGCACGTCTGGTATTCTTCGTGGTTCGTATCAGGTAAATTGTGTGGTTATTTCTCATTTAAACACACAAGTGGTTTGTTTGTTAGTACATTCAGTCTATTTAGCTTGTCGGAGGAAGCTGCAAATGCCTGATCTACTTCAGAGCTGCACAATGGGCTGGGAACAAGTTTCCCAAACAAAGCCAAAGAAACAGAAAATATTCTGGAGCACAATGCATAAGGCAAAGCAGCTTTTGGTCTTCAAATTCAGCAAAATCAAGCCTGGAGGGATGGAGCACTGTGGGCATGAATTTGTTTGGGAGTGTGGGTTAAGATGGTATTAATCTACAAACATTTGGGATGTTTGAGCTCACCAGTGCAAATCATCTCTGTAAACAGACATTTCAAGTCAAAGCAGTCAGCATCTCCCATCACCCTGTGGCCCGTTTAATGTTGTCTATATGTGCCAACTCCAGTGTCTGTTTTTTTTTTCTCTACAGGGTTTACCTGGGCCTCCTGGACCAAAGGTGAGACATCTCGCCTCGCTTAGAGGGAGCAAGGTGACAAACAGAGGTGGATGCTCCTGGCAAGGAGAGATGTGTACATTTTAATGGATGGAGGAGAGGGAAAGGAGGTTACGTGAAATAGCTGAGAAAGGTTTCTCACCCAGCTCAGTATTGCCTTCGGGGCCCAGCCTGTGTGCTGACTCATGGGTTTTGTCCAGGCAACGTGTCTGAGTTGCATCTTGACTGAGCAAGGCGCGCCTCATCAGCCCCTCTTGCAAAATTCTTTGCCACACACAGCTTTATTGGCTTCTTCCACTCTCAAAGCGTTTACCAGCGCTTCAGGAATTGATTTTGCAATGCTATTGTTAACTCCACCACAGTTTCCCATTTATTCACTTGCCAGAGTGCGAGTGGGGGGGGTGGTTGTTGTTGTTTTTCAGCTGCAACCACCCACTCCCATTTGTTTTTATTTGAGGTATTTATCCAGGATGAGGAGATAGGAACCGCAGAGCTGGGGCACGGAGCTGGCATGAGTTACCCAGCTGCCAGTGCTTGTTGTGCCTTTCCTGCTAGGGCTCAGTCCCGTGCAGGTAACAGTGACCCATGGGTCTGAAGGCTCAGGAATCCTGTGGAGTCACTCTGAGAAAAGGTGGATTTTCCCTAGGGAGTGCCCTTTCATCTCAGCATCTCCCTAGGGAAAAAGGGCAGGGATTTGTCCTTCTTGGACCAAGCCTCACTTTCTTTTTTCTTCTTGCCTATTTCAGGGAGACCCTGGGATTCAGGGATACCCTGGGAGAAAGGTAAGAATGGCATCTCCAGTATTGTCAAATGAATTAAGCTGCACTGATGCTTTGCAGGATCACGGCTGCAAATCTGTGGACTCCTCTGGAGCCCTCTGCTGAGCTCTGGACATAGGGCTGGACATGGGGCTGGTCACGGGGCTCCGACAGGCCCACAGATCCCCTGCCATCACCTGTGTAAGGAGAGACTGGGCCCAGAGATATCTTTAACTCTCCAGTAGCTGTGGTGCAGATGCCTCCCTGCCTGTGTGCCTCTCTACACCCACTTCCAGGCTGAAATATACCTCTTGTGCCTCCAGATCTGAACAGGAGGCTTGAAAGGGCCAAATCCTCGGCTGTGTATTACTCTCTGGAATAAAGCAGGAAAGATCTGATCCTGCTCTAGGTTAAAAGGCAGAAGCTGGCATTGCCAGCAGGTCTACAGCAGCAGCTAATTAACAGGGGGGTTGTCAAGCCCAGAGGGTGTAACGAGGAAACAGAAAGAGAGACAGGGGAAAGACACAAAGGAAGATCAAAGGGGAGAGCGGGAATGAAGAGATGCTGCTAAAGAGATATCAGCTGGAGAAGGGGAAGGTGAATGTTCCCAGCAGGTGGGAGTCCTGTGTCTTGTGTTATCTCCATGTTGTTTTATGGGTGCTCTGCGAGCAAAATGGCAAGACCTGAGAGCTTTCTAATTAGTTCTGTATAAACTGAGAAGTTTTTGTTATGTCAGGAAGTGGAAATTATAGCCCCCGCGGACCACAGCCCGCTCCTGTAGACAGACGCAATTTATTGCCTCTTCTTCCAGTGAACCATCGTTTTTTCCATTAAGAGCCCATCCTGTTCTGTGTATGCTGAGCGGGCGGCTCTCAGCATGCAGGAATGGTGAGGGGGTCCCTGCAAGGACCTCGCAGCGAGGGCCTCTCCTACGAGCTCCTCTTACATGAAACAACTTGTCTGGCTAATTTACTTACCAAGAAAAGAGCTTTCACTGATCTTGGAGGAATGAGCCCAAGGTTGTGACCTTTCTCTGGGAAAGGTGGAAGAGATGGATGAAAGTAGGAGAGAAAATCCTCCGTGTTGAGTTGGTCAGAGGAAAGGGAAAAGAGGGCAAAGAGTCGAGCAAAGATGTTAGCTCCGATATGATACAGGGTTGTGGGACTGCTCCCCTCAATCCATACATTTTGCAGCCTAAATGTCTTTCTTGATGCAGAATGGTGCTTCTCTCCCAGTGAGACCCAGATGGTAGGTTGGTGCGTGGTGGGGGCCTCTGTGCGGGACATCCCTCTCACATCTTTGCTGTCAACCCACAGGTTCCTTTTCTTGCTGCTCACTGTGTTTACTGCTTCCTCCATTTCCTTTCTTCTCTTCCTCAGGGTGAGGTGGGCGACTCAGGCTTGCCCGGTGCGCATGGCCTCCCTGGAGCTACTGGCCCCAAGGTAACCTTTAAACTCAGAGTCAGTGGGGCCATCTCCCAAGGGCAGATAAGTGGCACATGAGCCCAGAGACACACTAAAGGAATACAGAAGGTCGGGGCTGGAGGCAGTTCTCTAGAGCCTGGTATAACCCACGTGAACAGAAGAACTCACTCCTGTGTAAAAGGCCTGGGCAATTTTTGGCCAGAACAATTCCCTGCTGTCCTGAACTAAGGCCAGGAGCAGCCCTGCACAGGCACCATTAAAGAGTAAAACCAACCCAGCCTTTAGAGGCTTTTGCATTAAAGCTGGGAGAATGAGGATACTCTGCTCCAGGAAAGGGTTTGATGGTTTGTCTACACCCAAAACATGTAGGAAAGCATTAGTACGGGCGACCTCCAGCATCCGCTCCAGCGACATAAGCTGCCTTGCATCCCCAGGGAGGGGTGGGCTGCAGGCAGTGTTCAGGCTGGTACCATGTTCTTATCAGGAGCCAGTTCTCTCTGGAGGCCTGGGATGGGATTTATCACACGCTCCCTCTTTCGGCCACTTTCTCTTTGGCCCTCGCTGTTGTGATTATACGGTTTGCTTGATTTCTCTTCATACTCATGGTCCCTGTCTGTGTTTCTTCTTTCTCTCTCCCCTTTGCTGGGCAGGGTGAACAAGGGGACCCTGGCATAAAGGTAGGCATGAGAAATACGTTTTTCTACCACGGTAGATCATCTGGGAGATGCTGCTCCTCGGGCTGATGGGTTGTAAGAGGAAGCTGGGTCTGAGGCAGCTCTGTGGGGTATTTAATGGAGTACACATCTGCGCGCCGATTAACCGCAGGCAGACACTCCAAGCTCAGGCAATAAAAGCAGCCTTTATCCATTTGGTGGAATTCGACTCTTACCGAAGGCGTTTCTCTAACTATGGAGCTTGCTAATGATTTGTTACATCTCTCCATTTGATGGGCTAGGTTGGGGTTTCCTCATAAAATCTGGTTAGCTGATGCATCAAATCCACTCCGACTCTGCAGCTCAGGCTGAGGTTTGGCACCAGGCTTTTCTGGCTGTTTCTGGATGCTTTTTACAGGCTCATATGGTCTATGCCCAGATGTTATCTATTTGACTGAAATTTACTGTACCCATGTATTTAAAGTGTATTACTTTATGTAGACTGTGCTTAGAACATTACGACATTGGCGAGTGCTCACAACAATCAGAGTGCACTGTGTCATGCCATGCATCTTAAACATCACGAGAAAAGACTGGTCCTGCAATACTTTGGAAGGCATTAACAGTGACACGTACATTTCAAGTATTTAGTGTGTGGCATGCATCTCTTTTATTGTGCAGCATATACACTTTCTATATTTTTTCCATCTGGGTGGATTACTATTTGAAGGGAGAAAAGGCCCCTTCGGAACTTAACATGGATGTTGTACATCGAGTTTGAAGAAATGTTCTTTGGGAATGCAGGCTCTGCGTTAACAGTTTAATGGAACAGCAGTGATAGTCTTCCTACAAGAAAAACAATACCTCCTCAGAAATACTGCAGTGCTCATGAAGTCCAAAGGTTCCCTCGTGTCCGCCTTGACATCAGTGTAATTCCATCAAGCACAAAGGAATCGCTTCCGGTTTGCGGCAGTGTAAATGAAAGCAGAATTGCACCCAGAACTAACGTGTTTTGGGGGCTAGGAGTTTGCTGCTGTCTCAACAGCCAGGTGCTCTCCCATAAACCTGAACTGAGGAGGACTGAAGCTGGAGTTTGGCCTGGGTTGGAGAAAAGGCTGGAAGAAGCTGCCTTCCACCCCTGCTTATACTCTCATGTTCCGCTGCTAGCTGGCACCCGCTCTGCACCATGTGCAAGGACTAATCAGCCCTTGATTTGGGCTCTGCCAAAGGGGAAGTCTCCAAGTTGTCTAGTGATGCCTCAGGGTCATCCACAACCAAGAGCCTTCCCTGTTCTGTGCTGGAGAGCAATGACTCAGGATGACCCTGCAGACAGGCTTTCGCTGCTTGGGCCCTTATTCATCCCACTTCATAAACAGTGGAGATGAAACCAGCCACACTTTTTGTGGTACCACATGGCAGCTCCAAAGGGCCACCTCCCCAGTCCCTTCACACGCAGACTTCCGTTTGTTATTGTCAGGATCACTTTTCTCTCGACTTCCTTTCTTCTTTGTTCAGAGGAATTTAAGTGGAAGTGCAGAGGTACCCCTAAATCAGCAGCCAGACATCACCCAGCAGCAGCTCCTGAACATCCGCACAGCACATGCATTTGTTGCCTTTGGAAATTACTTCTTCCTGTCGTCCTCCCACCTAGGAGGATCATTTGGGACTCTGGAAGGCTTTTGCTGCTTCCACCTTCAGATCCAGTTACCTGGGCCAGATTCTACCTTCTCTTTGTTTTAAGGAGCCCAGGCCAAACACTGCGATTCATAGTTTAGCCGTAGTGACCAATTTTGCACAACACGGCGCTGCTTTTGCTGGTGGTGAAGGACGTTTCAGGCCTGAAGAGGCTTGCTGGTTTCATACAGGCCTCTTGTTCATTTAATAACCTCTCTGCACCCAGTGACAGATAGCTAAAAGAGAGTTTGTTGTGCTCTATTTTTCTCCTGTGGCCACCACTTATACTTACATCATATTGAGATCTACCTCTGTGTCCCATGAAGGTCACTAGACAACCAGTGAGTGTGGTCACCTGGGGGATTTGAATAAACATTTGACTCCCTGCCCCCCAGCTTAGCCATCACATCCAGCTCTACTGACTTTTTTTTTTTTTTTTTGAAAGGTCCTTAGGATGAGGCTTTTTCTCATGCTCTGAGGAAAGAGCAATAAAGAAACTGGCCAGAGCCTTGCTCAATAACCCACTCATAATCTGCCTTTCACAGCAAGGAGTGAAAAAGGAAGGGTCTCTGTTTTAATTGGCAGCCAGTACTGCTAACGAGCTGATCAGCTTGGGGCTTGGGGCATGCTCTGTCATGATTGGCACCGAGTGGACCCCAAGCTGCTCATATTAGGTGTAGGGGAAGAAAGGGTGGGGGTTTTGTCTTTGCTGGAGGGGGGAGAGGTAGTCTTCTTCTTCTAGCAAGAATGGGGAGCACGGAGGCATTTCCTAAATCAGCATAAAGCTCAGAGTAGCTGGGAGATGCTGCTGCCTGCCTTCCTGGAGTTCCTGGAGCCCGCTGGAGATCTGAGCTGGCATTTTGCCTTTCATATCTGCCTTTGGTGATGTTCCCCAGCTTCTGGCTCGGCTCCACTGTTCCAGCGCTGCTTTTGGTGGGTTGCTGCTGCCTGACCATGGCACCCTGTGCTGCCCTTCTCAGGCCCGAAGGGTGCTGGGGGATCACAAAGGGATCAGCCCGGTGGGTACTTTCTGTATTACAACGGGCTTTAAAATGTTCTGGAGCGCTGTTTTTCCTGCTTATTCTCTGGCTTTGGCTCTGGGGTTTCTTTCTGCTCTTAAAGGGTGCAGTGTCACGTTTGTTCCTGCTCTCTGATTAGCTCCAGTGCCTGTGTGATCCTGCCGGTGCTGGTGGGGGCTGTGCAAGTGAGCTGAGGCCATCATCAGAAAATGCAGGGTAGGGTGGTTGCTCTGTAACTTGCTCCATGTAAGGGG